CACTTTTTCCATCGGATGATTTTCATCTGATTAATTCAATTCTATATGAAGATTTTTAAAAAATGACTATTTTGATTCTTCTTCCATCTTAATATCAATTCGTAATTGATAAATGTAAAAAATCAAATTCATATCTTACTTAAAACATATCAACCATTCAATTTAATCATGAACAATGTCAGCGTTTTATTATAATGAATTTCAAAGCATGGTTTAGTGCTACAAGCAAAGCAAAAATTTTCAATTATTTATTTAATTTAACAAAACAATAATCCGTTCATTTTACTTGTTAAATATTAGTATAATATTATATATTTATCAGAAACAAAAACATAAAATAAAATAAAATAAAAAAAAAACCGGAAAACTATTATTAACGATTAGTAAATATTTGCATTTATTTTTCCTCTTGTATAATCTTCATCTAATCGCTTATAAAAATTACAATGGACAAAAAAAGAAATCACCGGAGATCAAAAGAAAAATAAAATACGTATTCTAACATTTAAATGAAACTATTATGAATAATAAGTAAGAACATTTTTTTGATTACCACGTAAAAATAAAACTGGTGGTAAGTTATAACTAATTGCATCTAAATAAGCAAGATATAGACCAGCTGATATCAATTGTTTACGTGGAATTGGTAATGTACTAAACAAAAAAAAAAAGTAAAATTTTGTTTCTTTTTCTAATCTATAAAGAAAAAAAAGAACATACACAACAATAAGTGTAGATTTTGAACTATATTCTAATAAATATTCATGTAATTTTAAACCACGTTTTATTTTATCTTTATTTAATTCATATTCACTATCAGTTATACGATATATATCATCATTTTGATTCCATGTTTGTAAAATTCGATTAAATTTTTCTGTTTCATATTCATTTGGGGCTTTATTAAGACCATGAAGAACATGTAAATCGGAATAATTTATTCGAAATTTTTTTAATAATGATGCCATTGATAAATGTTGTTTTTCAGCATCGATTTTTTCACCTGATACACATGAAAATATACGAAATTGACAATGACGCCATCGTTTTCGTCGTCGTAATAAATAAGGTAATAATAATGCTAAACCACCATCATCAAATAACCACCAAACATCAATTATAGGTGATGATGAATATTTTGATTGAAATACATTCATTGTTAATAAAGCACCTTTATTTAATATTGTATTTTTTAACATTAAAACATTTGTTTGATGTGGTATAGAAGATTTTGAACAACGACGTAATGGACTTGATGAAATAAATACTTCATTTTTTTCTTCATCATCACTATCTTCATCATCATCTTGATCTTCGGGTAAATCTATTCAGAAAAAGAAAAATTATTTTCTCAAAATAAATATAGACAAACAAAACAAAAAAGCGAAGAATTATTTTACCTGATTCAAAAAAATCACTAAAATCAAGTCCTGCTTGAAGACGTAAAATTCCAACACCATAACTAAGATCAAGTGCATCATGAATTATATTAAAATAATCAAAAGTTAATTGTGGTTTTGTTAACCAATCATTTTTAAAACCAAGAAAGACAACATTTGGACGCATTTTACCAACGCCTACACACTAGAAAAAAAGAAAAGAAATTATTGAAATTATCGAATCGAAGGTAAAATCTATCAAATTCAGAAATCTACAATCTCAGTTATCGAGATAGAACTATCTTATGACGGAACATTTTCAACTAATCAATTGTTTTTTGAACTCGAGATTCCTGCATAAAATAGACTCTAGTGAGATATGAAAAACCTCAAAAGAATAAATCTTCGTAGGCATTTTACTAGAATTTTAGCCTATGGTTTTGGTATATATCAACAAATCGAATGATGATATTTCGACCTAATGTTTTGTCCATCGACAAGTCTATTGATTAGAAGAATGCTCTGAAAATTTCAGCTCAAAAGATTATTTCTTTTTCGAAATATTCTTTTGAGCTGAAATTTTCAGGGCATTATACTGATAAATAGATGTGTTTGTGCGCAAAACTGCACATCGAAACAACTTCATTCGATTTGTTGGTATATACCGAGCCAGAGACTAAAATTTAAGTGAAATGCTTGTAACTCTGCACAGAAAGTCTAAAAGGACTCATTCTTTTAAGGTTTTTTATATCTCACTGGCATCTACCTTATACACGGGACTCGAATTCAAAAGCGATTGATCAGTTGATAACGTTTTCTCGTTAGTTTATATATAACTTTCTGTCTCGATCTGATACAAGTCTTATATAACATTTATGTTATAAAATAAATATTCTGATTTTTTACTCAAAAACTTTTCTATCCTGATCCACTATTCATCATTTAACAAATTAGTACAATTAAATCTAATTTCATCTCTGCTATAGTCTATACTAATTGATAATAATAGTATTCATGTTTCATCATATTGGATTTTAATATTTTATATTAGACGATAGAAAATCATTCTCGAACACTTTGCATTTGAAGATAAAAATCATTTAAAAGTTGTTAAATAATTTATAGTTATTATTATCATCTGAAAATAGACAGATGTTGATACTCAAGACTTAGACTTCATCAATATTTATAATTCATTGTTTTTACATGATCATCTTACATTAAAACATTATGTAAATATTTTTTACAAATAATCTTTAATAAACAATTAATATAAATATGACATACTTGTAACAATCCCATTGTGCCTTGTCGAACAGTTGGTGCAACAACAGGTTGATAAAAAGCTTTCGAATTTCGTTTTTTTAACCATAATTCACCACTATCTTTTTGTTCATATAATTTTATATTTACTGATGGATCATCCTAAATTTTCAATCATATGTCTATATCTATATAGCGGAGAGGGAGGGGGAAGGGGGGAGGGGGAGGGGAGGAAATGCCACGCTCCGTCCCGGAAGGCATATATTTTGAAGGAAAGAGAAAAACTTTGTTGATTTACTTACCAAAATAACATTACCACAAATCATTAAACTATGACCATGAGTTACTAATGAAGCAAGATCAACTAATGCTGGACGATAAATTGGATTTCCAGTTAAAACTAACATTTGTGGTCGAAAATTTTTTACATGTTCTTGTACACTACCTAATTTTAATGTTGCATCAAGTGCTCTTCGATATGTATGAGCTTGAACAGATGAACCCCAATTGACTTCTAATAAATAAAGTTTCTTCCATAAATTATTTAATAACAAAATTTATCTTTACCAGGTTTTTTTGTTCGAACATATAGAAAAATTCCATAAGTAATAACTAACGTTACTAAAGCTGTGTATCTAACGAAAAAAAAATGAAATAATATATCATTATATAAATTCTTTTCTTTGCGTTTTTGTATCTTTACCGATTAATAATAAACATAATTCCAACACATAATAATGCACCAATTAATGCTAACCATTTATTATAATATCGAAAAGCTGGCCGCCAACCACTAGCTTTAGCTAATGAAGCATCAAAACATGAATAATTAACTAAAGCATAAGTCATAAGAAAAAAATTTGATATGATTGGTGCAACATGATTTAATTGTCCTTAAGAGAAAAAAAACGAAGTTTCAAAAAAATATTTTCTACAAAATTTAAAAAAGTTCTTTTACCAATTGCAGTAAATAAAACAGCAATAAAATATGTTAGAAAATAAGCTCGATGTGGTTCATCAGATTTTCCACTACCAACAGAAAAATATTTTAAACTAGGAAATATCATATCACGACAAACAGCTTGCAATACTTTTGGTGCACCAACAAGACTTGCTAAAAAAAAAAAATAAATCCTATGCAAAACATTGTGTTCGTGCAGTTCTTTTGGTCCTGAAATGTGGAACTCATATACTGTTACTTAGCTTCATTGTATTAATATAAAATACCTAATGTTTAATTTCTCTAAAAGATCATAGTTGTTTTTCGACGATAATCAATTATTAGCAAACACTGTCTTTTTTTATTTCGAACAGAAATTTTGTTTTCTCTCTTTTTTTCGATAACCATTGATTTAAAGGATACCTCTCTTTTCTGACTCATAATTTTTGTTTTTTTTTTTCATTTTTGGTTTTTGTAGCTATTGCATAGTCTCAAGTAGCATCTATCTGCTGAATACATTTTTGGATCTAAAAATTGTCTTTAAATGTTAGAAAAAAGTCGTGACGAAATCAAATTTACATAACGGAAATAGCGAAAACTGCACATTGTTTTGTGTTTTTCTCAAAACAATTTTTCCATGATCATTTCTCTGGTACACTACATCCGATTGAGCTGAAACTTTTTTCATGTATACTAGACACTATTTGAGATAGGTATTTTCTTTTTGTTTCAAAAACTATTGTTCTGCCGATTTTTGAGAGCTCTTACAAAACAACTCTATTCAAAGAAAAAACATGCGTTTTTTACAGTATCCTCGATATTTTTGCTTTATTATTCGAAAAACAAAATATAAAAACAAACTAAAAAAAAGGTACCCACCCTAGACAGTGTCTAATATCTCTAAAAAAATATCCAGCTGAATTGAACATAGCATCTTGAAGCAACAAGGGAGTGAAAATTGGAGCCATTATGATCCTAGTATCTCATAGAAGAAAGCATGCGGGAGTTTTCAGTCTATGACAACCTTTGCTGTATTCATCAAGATATACCTGTCTTGAAAATTTCAAATTTTTCTAATGAACAGTTCTACAGTAAACACCAGAAAGAGAGGTATCCTTAATGGACATATAAGCTTGTTGTACGTATTCGTTATATCTACAGCAGATCGTATCTGCACAGAAATTAGAAACTATTCTATTTAGAACATTGAAAAACGTATTCCAGTTATTTAAATTTCAAGGAAGATTCTCGAATGTTCTAGAAATTTCTAAGCCATGTGATTAAGAGGATGACCTTTAATCCTAATTGCTACGGTCTATGGGGAGAAATTGAAAAACCCCAATCTACACTTTCACTCACAAAAAAAACAAAAAAACAAAAATTTCAACTCACCTAAAGCACTGGATAATGTTGCAGCAAAAATTCCCGCTAATATCACAAAAAACAAAAAAATCAAACAAACTTATTTAAAAAACAAAGATGAATTGAACTCACCAATAATAATTGGTCCAAATGCAGATATCATTCTCATTGCTTGATAATTATAAATTAAACCAGATTTACAATCACTATCATTTGTATCTAATGAACAATTAATTATTTGTATAAGACTTCCATTTCGTCGTTCATAATAATCCACTTAAATAATAACTAAATTATTTATTCAATTCAAATAGATAAATCTTACAAAATACTTCTCGACGTGTTGTACATCCTGATATAATACAAAAAATAAGATAAATAGATGACGTAAAACCAATAGCAGCATTTGTACCAAGCGGAATGGCTTTTGATGGATTCTTTAATAAGAATAATTTTACGACTAA